GTGACTGCCACAGCTTTGCAGAGAGTTGTGGATGCTCAAACAAAACATCACCTCCCCTGCATGGGCAAGGGGAAGCTGGCACCTTCTGCCTGTCTAGTTTCAGCTCTTACGTGAAAATCCAGGTTTAAGGCCCACTGAGGTCCATAACAAAGTTCACTGTTACTTTTGGGGCAGATAAGGTTTTACACAAAGCTGTTTGCTCTGGCTTTGCAGCACACGCAGGACACAAAGTCCTGGTGGCACAAGAACAACCAGGCAGCAGCTCAAGTCTCAGATCAGCACCTCTGCAGGGACAGTTCCCCCCTGTCACAACACACTCTTTGAAATACAAAGCACAAGCTCAAGAACTACTTCTAATTACTGGGAAAGGTACAATAAAAACAGTGTCAAGAGCTTGCCTTGAGGGGAAGAAGAAAAGCCTGACAGGTTAGGGGAAAAAGAAAAAACCTGCTCCATAAAATGTTGCTTTTGTGTATCCCAATGAGTCACTCCCCACCCTACAGATACTTAAGGAAAACAACCAGTTTCAAGTTTACAAAATCAAATTTTACTGATACTAACGTACTCTGTACTGTCTCATTTGAAAACCAGCAAGTTTTCTCCTACTAAATCCTTCTAAATAGATCTGTAATGCTTGTATTTATTTCAGATTTAAGGCAACAATGTCATAGCTGGAAGAGGTGGAAGGTTGATTTCATACCTATGTTGTAGATTTCAGAACTTCCAAATCTTACTCCATTTGGATTTAATGTACCATCACTGAAAAATCAAAGAAAACAAAGAAACATTAAAGTGTGATTACAGCTTGATCAAGAGGAAAAATTGATGCAATTAAGCAAGTCTCTGTAGTGAAAGCAAAACCACATTAGAAACAGAATTTTAAGAGAATTTGAGTCAAAAAGGCATTTTACTCATTAAAATGAATCTGTACAGAGAACAGCAACATTAATTCACTCAACTTTGTTTCAAACATGAAACATTTTGTTGAAATGCAAACAGTAAATTCAGCCTCAGGTGTGATCCTGAATGTCTGTGATCACTGACAGGCACAACTTCATGCCTGACCTTCTGTAAGAAGTTTTGCTGTAAAACAAGGTGGTGGCAAAGCCAAGACCACAGAAATTCCCCAATTCCCCACCCTGGATGTGCTGCACTCTCAGTCCAAACTCCTGGGACCATTATGAACCATGGAACAAAACCATGCCCAGTACAGTCTTGTGTTCATAAATACAAAAGTGAACCTCAAAATGAGCTCCCTTCCCTCAAATCCAGCTGCTCTAATTAATTTAAGGATTGAAACTCACAATGTGAGAGTCAATAAAATCAATATAAAGCTAACAAGGGTGGCAGAACCATGTGTATTTTACTCCTAGGTGAAGATGGCAAATTGCAACACTTGTTTCCTCCCAGCACTCCCACCAGCACCCTGTACCTGCGGCCCAGCATGACAATTCCTCCAGTCTTGGGGTTAATTTTGCAGTAATCACCATGGGCCCAGACACCTGGGGAGGAATGGCAAAGGTTAAGCAGGATTTCCTCATCCAGTCACTCAGCTGGCATTAACTGAGTGAAACACAC